CTATTTTGTTATGGACATTTGTTCAATTTTGAGAAAGACAGAAAGAATGGAAGTTAGATTTTATGAAGCCCAAAGGACTTCTGAAGGATCTTCCCAGGATTACCACTAATTTAGACTCAAGTGTAAGTGTCCCATTCTCTACTGCATTATTTGCCTTTTCATTGCCATCCTCAAAAGCAATTATCACTTCTCACAGTCATCATGTCTTAAAAGTTGCTGTTTCAATCGGCCCTGGCTAAAAACCAAGTGAAAAGGAAATTACGAGTGTTGATTGAAGATACCAACTCATTTCAGTTAGATGAATTTGGAGACTTTTTGAGAAATACTGATAGATTGCAATGCACTGGACCGACAATGATAGGTTGCATTTGTAGGTGGGAAAATTTGATGTACTACACATAGGACAAAAAATACCACATAACTTGTCACATATGATAACAAAGCTGGAACCAGCCACCCACAGCAGTCTTGGCCTCAATGGATCTGGGCTCAGTTGTTCATTCACTGCAGGCTGGTGTTACTGACGTCCTCAGAACAACCGCTCAGGGGTCACCCAGCCCCAGAGGTCCAGGCCTGCCTGCCCTCAATGCCCATGCTTCTGCCAGCAAGCGTACGCGAGGCTGCTGAAGAGCTGCAGCACAGCAGCATCTGAAGGGATTCTCTATATCCTGCTGTCATGGTTTAACCTCGGCCGGCAACTAAGCACCACGCAGTCACTCTCTCACTTCCCCCCCCCCACCCAGTGGGATGGGGGAGAGAATCGGAAGGAAAAAGGTAAAACTCGTGGGTTGAGATAAGAACAGTTGAATAGAACAGAAAGGAAGAAACTAATAATGATAATAATAACAATACTAAAATGATAATCATAATAAAAGGATTGGAATATACAAAATTGCTCACCACCTGCCAACTGATGCCCAGTCATTTCCCGAGAAGCAATCCCCCCAGGCCAACTCCCCCCAGTTTATATACTGGGCATGACATCACATGGTCTGGAATACCCCTTTGGCCAGTTGGGGTCAGCTGTCCTGGCTGTGTCCCCTCCCAACTTCTTGTGCCCCTCCAGCCTTCTTGCTGGCTGGGCAGGAGAAGCTGAAAAATCCTTGACTTAGTCTAAACACTGCTTAGCAACAACTGAAAACAGCAGTGTGTTATCAACATTATTCTCCCACTAAATCCAAAACATAACACTGTACCAGCTACTAGAAAGAAAATTAACTCTATCCCAGCCGAAATCAGGACACCTGCCTGTGGGCCAAAGAGAGCGGCGAGCCCTGTGCTGAAGGACAGAGCTGAGGGCACACAGAAAGTGTCTGGACCTCTGAGGTTCAACTTCCTACCGCAAGGCAGATTTAATTATCTGTACAAAGCAGAGTGCTTCCAGTGGGAGCGACAGAGACCTTCAGCAAGAATAAACCGGCTCTAGTCTCAAATAAATCTCTAACAAGCCTCCAGCTGGAGGACTCTAGGAGCTGTAGGAGACAGGTTTCAGCCCCTTCCCTGTTCATCTCAGAGCAGTCCCAGTTCCCTCCTGTGCTGCCCGTGGTGTAGGTGGCAGCCTTAGCCACTGGGATGCCAGAAAAGCCACCAGTGAGGGCTCTCCTTCGACACTGAATCACTGAGAAGTTCAGGTGCCCAATTTCAGGAACCTGTTCAGTGCTAGAAAGGGGGTACCCCATTCTAGCAAGTGAGACACTTGATCTGTAAGCCCGATTCCCTCTGTCTGCATTTCCCCCCTTATTTATGCTAACTAGCTCCCTGCACAGCTGGGCAGAGGCTCTGACTTACGCCCCTGCACAAGAAATACCACAAAGGTATCCCTCAGGTTGAAAAGATACTCACCCTCTGTTGAAAATGCAATGAAAGGCAAGTTAAAATGTGGGTCCATTTTATTGTGCTAGAGAATATAAACATTTTACTGCCACTACAGGGTATGACAAAATGTTCTTCTGTTAAAAACGTGCGCTGGATAATCACGATCCTTACCTGAATACACAATTTGAAAAGGCTCAGCAAAGGCAGAGAGTGTGCTGAAAAGTAAGAGAAAAGCACGTGAGTATGAAGAAAAGAGGAAAAGTAGAAATGACCGAGGGATGAGGGTGCAAGTATCCTTTGGGATTAAGACGTAGCCCACCGAGGACAACAGAAGGAAAATCTTACACATTACCTTTTCTTTTTCCTTACAGCCTGAGGGGAAGGAGGCCATAATTAATGAACCATAAAGCTCCACTCGAGCCTCGGGGCTCGCTGTCACACCGCAAGGGAAGAGGGGAGTAGTCAGTCTAGGACTGTGAGGGTTTTCCCGGCGGGCTGGGTGACTCGATGGCCGCATACAGCACCGTAACGGCACTCGGTCCCCCGACAGGGGTAACGACCGAGTGCTCTGCCGCTGGCTGGGGGCGGGC